TCTAATAATTGCTCCCACAGTTGATTTCTTCACACCGAGCTGCTTACCTATTGCAGATTCAGTCTTCCCAGCCTGGTGCAGGTCTACAATTTTGTTTCTGGTGTCCTTTGACAGCTCTTTGGTCTTGGCCATGGTGGAGTTTGGAGTGTGACTGTTTGAGGTTGTGGACAGGATACTGATAAACTGATAACGAGTTCAAACAGATGCCATTAATACAGGTAACGAGTGGAGGCCAGAGGAGCCTCTTAAAGACAGGTCTGTGGGTCTGTGAGAGCCAGAAATCTTGCTTGTTTGTAGGTGACCAAATACTTATTTTACAGAGGAATTTACCAATTAATTCTTTAAAAATCCTACAATGTGATTTTCTGGATTTTTATTCTCATTTTGTCTCTCTTAGTTGAGGTATACCTATGATGAAAATGGATCATCCGAATGCTCTCTAGCAAACTTCAGACGGGCCTGGACATGTACTGGCTTAAGCAGGGGGACACGTCTGGCACTGCAGGATTTGAGTCCCTGGCGGCGCAGTGTGTTACTGATGGTAGCCTTGCAGTAACTGTTATGCTGATGTTGTGGCTGGTCAAGCAAATGTTTGTGTTTGTTTCTGTATGATATAATTGTTCATATATCTATTAAAATACTGATATTCTGGTCTATAACTTCTCCCCGAGCTTCCCGCTGCCCTGTATCTTGGTCTTTCATTGGCTGTAGGTCATCATCGATGTAGTTTTCAGTCAGAAATCATTGCACACAGCGTGATTGTGAAACGCCGACAGCTCCAGATATTTAGCATGCCAAATATGTTGCTGGCATCGGCGATTCCCTCAGATCGCGTCCTTGATAATTCACACTGCGTGATTGTCACTCGCGTGAATGAGCACCGATTTCGAGCATTTGTTGGCGATTTTGCAAAACCTGTCGGCGAGTGAAAAATCGGGCTAAAATCACGGTGTGAACTCGGCAGAAGGCAGTGGAGGATCTCGGCTTGGATTGGTCAGCTCCACAAGATCCCACCCATGGCCTCCTGTTCCTCCCGTCAATGGCCCGCCCCGTTCCTGCCTGCAGTTCATGAAGAACTCCCCCTATTTGGCCCGTGTTAATCCCTCCACTTCTACTGCTCTCACTGCCGCTGATGCTGCTGAAGACAGGTTACAGCAAGCTCCTCCCGGTTGCTGCCCACCTGTGCCCACCATCGGCCCCTAGATTAAAAGCCCTTGCAGTGCACCCATCTAAGCCCTGCAGGATGACATCGGCCTTGGCCAACAGGGTTTATGTAGTGGCCGGCCAGGCTGACTCATGGCTGTATACAATGGCGGTGCTCCAGGCCAAGCTTGAACAAGCTCGGCCCGGTCCAAGGAGCTGCGCAAGGCGATTGACCTGGCTCTGCACACCACCAAGACAAATTAAATGCCAGCTTTCATCTTTATTTTTTGTCATTTCACTAAATGTGAAATTTCAGCAAGAATCAGTTTTTAATACCAAATTGACTGGTAAACAATCACTTTATTTACCTTCATCTGGCAAGATACATTAGCAAAACAAGCTTCTTTAATTGTATACTTTTGCTTTAAGACAAAAATGTCAAGAAAACAAAAACATTAAAAAAAATTAAAAAAACATTAGCATGTCCGCTTTTTCAGGAGACAGACAAGCCCTCTCTCTTCACTGATGTTGTCCCCAGGACTAATGTCCCTAGGCTACATTTACACTAGTGTGTTTTAGTATCAAAAATTCTAATTGGCTAGTAATGCTAGTTTGGTTGAGAGTGAAAGCCGTACTCCTGTCATACTATTGGTAGGCGAACTCATGGACTCGAAAGTGATATCAACAAGTTTTTTTTTAATGTAGGATTATTTTTTTCCGCAGCCAAACTCTGCACACCTGAGATCCGGCACGGTGCTGGAGAACTTCAAGCCCTGATAGTAAAAAAAAATGTCATAAATTGTCTTATGTAGCATGATGCTACAGTATGCATGAACGGTCACGAAACACGTGTTTTCCTTTGATGCCTCGCCAGAGCCAATCACTGATTTAGGCTCATAAAACAGGCAGTATAGTTACTGGCTCACTGACTTTGAGATTAACCCTTTAGGGATCAAAATTTGGTACAGAGCGACAAGACATTTTTCAATACTCAATGGTATCTAGGCAATCCAGTTGGTGCCTAAAAAGTATCAAACTCAATACTAGAAGTTACAATGCTACTGAGACTGCTTTGTTTTCTTCAACAGTATATCAGCAAGAACAGGTTATTGGAGAGAGAAATAAATAGAGAAAGGGACAGGAAAGAAGGGAGGGGGGAAAAAAAGTACCCATGGATGCTTGTAGTAGAGATCTTCTCCTGACAGAGAAATGTTGCTATGAAATCAGCACTTCTTTTGGTTTCAACAAAGACCATCGTGCGTTCATTCCCTGTAATTGCAAACATAGTGCCACAAAATTGACCAATTTGCTTAGGATATGAACATCAAAGCTTATGTCAGCATAAAGCGGTTAGCAACCCATTTTCATTATATAATGCATCTAAAATTGTGAAACAATTTTAAAATAACTGAATAAACATGACTCGCATAATCGGTTACTGCACACAAACTACTGGAAAATCAGTACCAAACTTTATGTGCTGCATACAGTACAGTAGTAGCCTAAAGCCATTCAAAAACTATATAGGATGCTGAGTGCATAATCATGCGATTTATAAAACACACACAAACCTGTGTAATTAATAAATTTATATTTGTAAAGTTGATCCCCAACCCTACGAAGATACCCATTATTGTGGAAAATTTTTGAAAAAACTGCTACATTTGATAAAATGTTACAAGCGTGTGAACATTCTTAAGAGTTTCTGTGAACTTCAGTTTGATTACTTAATCCATCAGTTCCTCAAAAGGTTATCAAATGGCTTTTGACTTCAAATCTACATGTTTATGCTTCAGTAAGTGAACTGCATATGGAAATTCAACAAGCCCTCAATGCAAAATAATTAAATGTGTATGCATGTGAATGCACCTGTAGATCTGAGCAGTTCAAGCAGCTGGTCTCTCGTGGAGTATTGGTCCACCTGAATGATAGTTTGCTCCACATCACTGCATGCTCCACCAACCACACCAACAGCAAGGAAAATGTAGTCCACTTTCAAAAAATCTGCTGCCATCCTATCATACAACACATAATGCATATATCACTCCTGAAGCCATGAAAGCATCACTCTCACTGAATAGAGATGTGCAAAACACACATTTTCAAAATGATCTGTCTTAAAGTCCATAGTGTGGACGCAAAGCTAGTAAGGAGTTGTGAATCTGAATCATGTATTGTATAAAGCGCTATATAAATAAAGATGAAGGTGACTCAATCTGTATCCAGTGTTTCCCATTCATTAAGTAGACTGTGGCGGCCTGCCAGTGTGGGCAGATGATTACAGTATTTCACTGGATTTATAATGAAACTGATTCGTAAACCGGTTTTCACTAAAGCTGGAGTTTTCCGTCAAAACAAAAGCTTAAAGGTGCAGTATGTAATATTAACAGCTAGCGGATGAAATGGGTAATGCAGTCCAAATTCAAAGTATCTCTTGCAATTGTAGAAATTAGGGCCAAAGTGCTGTAATTTCCCTACTCTAGTGTAAAGCAAAATAATATACCTATGAAATATTAATTTTCATTTATTTTAGAGTGCAATTGTTTTACAATATATGGTCATAGGAATAATATAACATTTGTATTATATTCTAATTGATTTGCTTCCTTAAACACCAGTGTGAATGTAATTTAGACTGAGACACTATATCACAACTAAAAAGAGCGTTGAGTTAATTCACCAACTTTTTACTTAATTTTCTTGGTTAAGAACATGGGTTCAAGCTCTTAATTTTGAACTCTCAAAGTGCACCAGATAAAAGAATTTAACTTTAAAAATGTACAAAATGTTCTTGTCCACCCACCACAGTCTCACAAAATCCTGTGGGAAACGCTGTATCAATACCCAGCCCTACTGTACTACTATACTGTAGAAAAATTCAAAAGGCAATTGCAGATTTAGTTTGTATTTATTTTTCTAGATATAAGTGGGATTCACGTCTCCATGGCCAGAAGCATTTACCTGCCATTTTGGCAAAGGCTATGAGACTGTGTAGTGCAATGCATGAGAAACAAACTTGTATGTGAAAAGTTTCTGTTGATGGCCACATTTCTTTTGAGTAAGGTTGTGCTTAAATTAGTCTGTTTTCATACATACAGTAAAAAAAATAAAAGTCATTATTCCAATAACAGTCTAACTAAAAAATTACTTTAGCTTTTTAGGTCAGTGTTTCCAGAATTTTTGGTTTTAGCCAAGAAAACTATAAAATAAAAACACACTACGCTTGTATAAAATCACTGAAAAGTCAAATGTGTACCCATACGCAAACTTCCTGGCCTCCAGATAGATCTGATTGATGAGCTCTCTGGTGGGGGCCACGATTATGGCCTCGGGCTCCTGCACCTCGCTGAACTTGCTGGCTGCCACTCCATCAGCCATCAGCCGCTGTAGGATGGGCAGCAGGAAGGCCGCTTGAGTGAGCAGATGATTACATGAGTAATTACACCACTGATAAACCACATCAGAATCACAAAAGAAGTCTTGGCATTTAATGAAAACTGCTCTTACAGTTTTTCCTGATCCAGTCTGGGCACAAGCCATCAGATCTCGTCCAGCAGAAATAATGGGGATTCCATGTTTCTGGACAGGAGTAGGCTTCACATATCCAGACTTCGTTACATTCTTTCTCAGTGATTCACAAAGTCCTGCTTCATCAAAAGTCTGTAAGAGAGAGTGCAAGCATGAGGGACTTAATTTTATTTTGTAGTATTGTGTCTTTTTTTTATAGATATTTTGGCCTATTTTCATAGCTTTTGAACGTACTATGCACACAAAAACAGCTCATGGAAGTATGAGCCTGTGTGTAGGCACAATAAACAAACTTATTTTTCTCTCAATGTCTTGTAAAATCTGAGCTGAGTTTTCAGAGGATTCATAAACACACAGACATCATCTAGTGGTGTTCCAGGTTATGACACTTTAAACTGGGATGCCTTTGCAGTAGGGGTGTGCGATATATATATCGTCTGCGATAATATCGTAATTGTTGTTTTAACGATGTGCGATTTGACATTATCGAGTATTTTGCAAAAACCATTCAAAACATCCCTACAGAGCGCACGCATACATTACGTGAAGTCTAGACTAGTGCGTGTGC